CGATTTTGCGCATTTTATGATATTTTAGCGGATGAGGTGAGTCTCACAGTCGTATTCTCATTTGAAGATATGTAGTTTTTCTGAGCATCGATATTTCTGAGTATTGTATTCATGCAGCCAATGAGCATTTGGTCCTAACTTGTGTTTTTTATTCGAGGTACGATCCAAGTAAGCGCATTACGGGAAAGCAGGCTCTGGAGCATCCATATTTCAACGACCTGCCGGACCATGTGAAGAAGCTGACTAGATAAAGGATTGCTGCGTGTTAAGAAAGACCTTAGTTTGGAGACTGCGGTTGTTACACGCAGTTGGGAGTAGTAATTGATATGCGTACTATATAGTGGATCAGAAGAGGTTTGTCTGATGCGCTTCTACAGCGGCCTATAGGTTTTGCGTTATTCGAGATGACCAATTTATGGTAGAGAGTTAGGTTAAGTCGTGGGTGGTTGTAGCATGTTTATATGTGGTAACCGGTCAGCAGTGTTGAGGACGGGAAGAAGGTATTTCTCTCGGGTGCTGCTATGGGATGCGGATACGCCTCATGCTAAATCAATGGAGAAATTCCGAGAGGCAACTCCATTGATGACGTGAGCCTTTTTGTGTTCTTGCTAGAATGGGAGGCCTTTGTGATAGGTATGCTCTGGATAATGCAGGGAGCTTTGGGAAAAGAGACTGGCTGGCTGCGTTGACGCTGCTCACTACTCGAAAAGGCTCTGCACGGAATCATCAAGTGTAAGTAGCTGGTCTGTTCTCACCCGTTCCTAGAGCAATTTGAATTGAAGTGTTTATGAATATGATGAGAATGGTTGAGCTATGGGTTATCGTAGAATTGATTGTCACATCTATTCCTTGTGAAGTGTGCTGTTATACCTCGTCGAGATGGAGATTTTCCATTGCATAGTGAGTTCGGAAATTTCAGATCGGGAGTAGCTCATGCCCTGACTACCTGTGCATTGGCATTGCTCGATCATTAGTACGCGAAGGCTGGAGCTATGTTTACTGTATATAATTTAGGTATCGAGATTTCATGGCGAAGGTGGTCTCTCAACGGGAAGTGTTCGGCAAGGCTTCAATTCATCTCATGTTGCATAGGCTGGCAGTCATTGGTAGCATTCGGTCGTTGAGCTGATAACACGATCGAATGCCTCGTATGGCACCGAGTAGAATATACTCGATATCCCGTTGAAAATTTCTGGGTCACTGCTACTGTACTTACGGATGTGGGAGAACTTCGTTTCTGCTCGTGAGCATTAGAAATGGATTTACCTCAGTGTTGTCGGGCCATGATTGAACTGGTTGAGGATGTGAAAGTATAGGCATTTCCATGGGCTGTCTTTCATGGTAGTTGATAGGTTACGTCTCACTGGTAGACTTCTTAGCGTTGTAGGCCACAATTCGTGGTGCCACTGTGCTTTTACATCAGGCGCTTCGGCAACAGTTTGGCAATTAGTACCGTTCGTAACGGCCCAACTATCAGCATTGCAGCCGCGACAAGTCTGCCTTATATCCTGGGCTCTTGCCAAGGCTAAGGTGACGACCTAATCGTGACTGTCTCTGGCGACTCTACGGCTCTTGGTGTTCAATCTGAGCTCTCAGGTCCTCGACGAGGATTTCAGCGAGAAGCTGAAACTTTGGTTGCAGAAGATAGAG